TCCGCAGCCGGTATTTTCACCTCACAAGAGCCTCCCGCCCACCCCCCCCAAGGTGGCCTGTGCGCCACCCCCACCCCACCTGTCATCACCTGTGCCCACCGTCACCAACGGCCACCCCCGTAAATGTCTCATGCCCTCGGGATCTGGACTTTTCAAGAAAGCACGCGGAAACGATGACTTCTGGCAAAGTAAGAAGCGGGCACATAATGGGGACGAGATAACATTTCTCCAGCCCCATCACATCATGTTCACAGACCTCAGGGGTCCCGAACCTCAACACTCAGACAGATTTTCAGCAACTCAGATTTGGCCACAAGGTCCACCTTGCTGGTGGTGGTGGTGGTGGTGGGGGCTGCTAGTTTGGGGTGAAATCAGCTGGACGGCCCCTTTTCTTGCAGGAAGCAGGGGGGCAAGAGAAGAGCAGCCCACAAGGACAGGGACAGAAGCAAGGCCCCCAGCACACGGACCTTGAGCAGAGGCAGGCAGCTGGCCGCCAGCAGCCGTCATGACAACTGAGGCCCAGAACTGGTTCTGTCACTGCCTTTCATGAAGACAAACTCTGCCAAGACCACTTTAGGAGCACACTTAGAAAGCTGGCCTAGGGCACTTCCAGACACCCTGGGAAGGCTGGTCGCGTACAGGACACCTGTGTGATGGCACCAGAAGCAAATCTCGTCACTTGACATTTGAGTGGCTGCACTTCACTTAAGGTGAAAAACTGGAACTCTCAAAACACGTACTTCAGGGGCGCCTGGGTGGCTCGGTGGTTAAGCGTCCCACTTCGGCTCAGGTCATGATCTCACGGTTCGTGAGTTCAGGCCCCACGTCGGGCTGTGTGCTCCAGGCTGAGAGCCCGGAGCCTGATTCGGATTCTGTGTCTCCCTCTCTCTCTGCTCCTCCCCTGTTCTCACTCTCTCTCCAAAATAAACATAAAAAAATTTTTGTTAAATAAAAAAATAAAACGCTTACTCCAAAGTGTCCCGGTCAGAACCTAAAATCAGTACTTCCACTTGTCTGACCTGTTTTCTCATTCAGCAAAACGCCAAGTCAACATCATTTTTAGGACATTCCCAATACGTAGGATTAAAGTGACCTATTACCCAAGAACGCTTCGGTGGTAAATGAACACAATCTATTTAAAAAGCAGAGGGTGGCTTTCCTTGTTCACCATGCTGCTATTTTATAGAACCGGTTGCTACCTCTTTAAGATCAGCTCCTGTCATCCCTCATCTGGGCTTGAGGGAGTATATAAAGAGGTATGACAATTAGATAAAAAAGCAGATTATTAGTACGACGTTCTGAAACTGATGGGGAAGCCACCAGTGCATCGGACACGCCCATCTTCCACTCTGACAGGCTGAAAACTTCCACCATGCTTCTATCCGGCAAGCGCGGGAGACCCCGCTGCATTTGGTCCCCCTGCCAGCTGGGCCCGCGTTGGCTGCTGCCAGAGTGACTGGCCCTGCACGGCACCGGAATGCTGTCGCAGTGAGAGAATCTCTATTTTTGAGCAGAGCTAAAATCAAGTTTGCAGACTCTTTATCCAGATTCACTAAATGTAGGATGCCGTGTATAAGTTTCCAGAAGAGCAAGGAATAACTGTATACAGCCAACCAAAAAAAACGTTATTCTAGACAGCCACCCAAGGGCAGCTTCAGGGGACCGTCGATTGGCCCCAAGCACTGAAGGACGCTCCGGTCCACCAAGGCGAAGTGCCTGCACTCCCCACCGGAGGCTGCCCGGCCTACTGGAGGGAGACCGCCCGCCGGGAGCATGCCGAGCCTGTGCCACTCTGGCAGCGAAGGCTCCCTCAATGCCCACACCCTGGGGCCCACTCACGGGGAACGCCGGGCCAGGCAGGACTTAAGGGGCTCGCCGGGACTCTAGCAGCCAGAGGAAGGGCCGCTCCCGAGGGGTCAGGCCATCGGCCCAGATGGAGCGGTTTCTGCCAGATCGGGCCGCTTGTTGGTGACAGAGATGAGCGCTCTCGGGCAAAGCCTAGCAAGAGGGCACGGCAGGCCAGGCCAGTGTGCACGCCCGGATCGGAGCCTGTCACAGTGCCAGGCGGTAGTGGTGCCACGGCATCGCTGGCCACTGGGTGGCACTGGAGGGCCTCAGCGGAGTCGGGAGCCCTGGGCTGCAGCAGAGGAAGTGGCAGCCACTCAGGTGAAGCTCCCGCCCCGCACGGCCCGGCGGCCCCAGACACGTCTAGGGACTGCCCTTCACGGGAACCGGTGACAAACCCTCAGTCCGGCTGCAAATTGCTCTAAAGCTTTTGTGCTTCTGGTCCTGCCCAAACTAGTACCAGTTTACCCTAAAAACTCCCCAAGATGAAACTCAGGCACACCCGCCTCGGGTGACCGGCTATAAAAGCCAAAGAAAGAAAACAGTGCTTCAGGGCGTTAGGCGCCGGCGGGCTCCACGGTGCAGGTAGGTCCCCCAAGGCCCCAAGTGAGAGACCACGTGCCCCTTGCAGACCCGCCCACTGGCTCAGGATCCCAGCCCCTGCTCCCATCCCGCCGGCCCCAATTGTGCCCCTCAGCTGAGAGCCAGGCCACCCTGCCCCGTGGGCTCCACCACAGGAAGGGAAGGCACAGGGCCGGGAGGGCCGGGCGGCCCCGTGTTTCCCACCTCTGACGGCCAGGACTTACCCTGCTACGAAAAGTGAAGTGAACCAGAGCAAGACAAAACCAGTTTGCTCTTGTGCCTTTGCTTAAACGCTTGAAAGTGCATTTTTCTTCGAGAAGCACAATAAAGTACCAACTTGCTTTTCTATCAGAAAGCACGTATCACCTCCCGATGAACACTCAAGCAAGCGTAAGCTGCACCCCGATGCTGCTCGGACTAGACACCATCTTCAGGAGGTCATTATGAAGACCCCCAGATTGTCACGGTCAGGGCTTCACAAGGCTTTTCTTACTGACGTCCCATATTCGAGTGACTTCTGCCTTAACAGAGAGGCGCACAGAACTCTGCGAGAAACTTGCGGAATACGCCTTTAAGGAAGTCACTCTCCCTCATTTTAAGTTTCACGTCCAGTACTTTGAAAATCAACCCCGAAGCTCCTTCATATTGGATGGGTAATCCAGAAAAGAACCAGTGACTGTCCTCCAACGTGAGCCACTTGGAAGAGACGGGACCAAGGTCTCGTGGGGAGATGGGCCCCTCGCCCTTCCTGACGACATAGCTGCCATCGGGGGAGTGGCCCACGGCCAATGCAGGACTGGACACAGGGCCCGAGGCTCCCGTGGGACTCAGAGCTCTGAACTGGCTGACAGGCATGACCGCAGCTCCCACCAGGGGTGATCGTAAGCAGGATCATCTGTGCCCAAATGGTTTACTAGTTCACCCAACACACTAGGGGCCTGAGCCACATTAGGAGAGCCCGCTGACCTTTCTCTGTCCATCCCTCGTCCCAAAGGGCCCCGCTGAGCAGAAACCACCAGGCTGCTGGCCCCGTGCAGACCAGAGTCAGGGCCCTGCCGCAGTTACCTCCGTGTGCTCCTGGCTGAGCTTCTCCAGGCTCTCGCCACTAGTAGAGGGCCCAGCCTTCTCTCAGCAAAGCTTCTTCGGTTTACTGAAGCAATGAATACAGCTATGTGCACAGGGACGCATCGCACACATATAATCAAGAACGTCCTACTTTATGCAGACAGCCCTGAAATCCCCGTGCTGCACTGGTGGGACTACAGCAGCGCCGTCGAAGGGACCCGTGGACTCCGGGACACCGAGGCCCGCAGACGGACTCTTCTGCAGCCTGTCTTTACGTAACAGAGCGGGTTCGCAGCTCCCCAAAGTCACTGGCCTGAGTGAGGCCTACCCTGCTGGAAACTTCCGGAACCCCCCACCTGCCAGGGACTGTAGCACAACTACTAAGGGGGCGGCACTGGGAGCTACAGAAGGTTTCCTCTTGAGTGTTAAGTTGATGGGCATGTGAAACCTTTCCCTGACCTGTCTTGTTAGTTTTAATCTTGTAAAAAGTAAAACTGCTTAAAATGCGAGAAGACTATCATCTGAGAACTCAGAAAACTCCAGCTACGTGGATAACGTTAAAGTCTCGCCAAGCTAAATCTTTTATCAGTACAAGTTTTGGTTTTTCCTCTAATTGGTTCAGATGTACCAGGTCTCATTGGTCTCCGACCACATTTTATTGCCAAGGACCATTCTGGAACGGACTGATAAAAATGGCTCCCGCAACTGGCAGAACCCAAGGATTTCCATTTCTACAAAGTATTCCTGGGTCCTAGTGCCCCCCCCCCCATATTTGTTATAGGAAATTTAGGGCTCCTAAGCACGCCTCCGGAGCCCACACCCCTAGTTATCCTCGTGAAAATCCATGTTCTCCTTGATCCATTTCGTAAGCAGGTGGACAGTGAGGTGTGCCCGGCACTTAGTGAGGAGATGCTTCTATCTGTGTGAGCGGTTTTAAGACATCTGAGCTTGGGTGGAGAGGTTGCTAGGGTGTCCATTCTACTTCTCAACTAGATGAAACCGCAGAAATCCCATTTCCCCGTCAAAATCTGTTCAGAACCCCAGTGTTTGAAGTCCCCTAATGAGCCCACATAGGGGATCCAAGGTACCAGGAATGGCGCATATGGGTATCAGAATTCCACTTCACTTCTGAACTCTGATAAATCAGGGGCATCTTAGAAAAAAGCTCTTCATGCCTTAACAGGAGGTTGACCCGACAGTGAAAAAGAACAGAAAAAAATAAGGTTATCAAAACAAAGGAGTACCATGACTTGAGTGAAGAAATAAAGTGGCAATTGCTTCTAGAAGTTAAAGAAACTGTACAGAAATCCTCAAAAACAAAAAAACGAGTCAGAGGAACAATGGTATGTGAATTGCATCACCCCTGCTGATGTTTCTGTGAGAAGCAGGAAGAGCTTCTGAGTCCTTCCCTGTTTGATGGGAGGTCTCCCTGCACCCATGTTCACGGCTGCCCCACACCCACAACCCAAGGTCAGCACCAGCGGCCTGGGAAGGAGAGGGAAGCCCGGGGCACCTCCGGGGTCAGAGTGTCGTTCCCTCAACAGTAGGCAAGACAGGTTGGGTGGCAATTTGCCCACAGACTTGACACGTACCCAGGTCAACGTGGGAATGCCTCCTCCTAACCACTGTCCCAACGCCAGCTGGACCCTAACCCAGGAGAGCACTCTGCGGCCAGCCAGAAAGGAAGGGGCGGTCCCCGTGGGGACGCAGGGTTCTGCTGTGTGTGCGCACGCTGCCTGCGACCCCAACTGTGAGGTGATAGTTTGGGTGGAGAGAGGCAGAGACACAACTGCTACTCACCGAGACCGAAGTCGGGTATTTTACTAATGACCGGAAGATGACATTTCTGGCGCAACAAAAAGGGAGGAGAAGCAACTAGCTCAAAAATGTGTCCCTTACGCATTCCATAAATGGCGGCTACCCATCAGCTTTAATTTTGAGATGTGAGTGTGCTGAGAAAGGCCAGCAGTCACTCATCTGTCCCGTCAGCTGAAGCAGCTCGGGCCTCAGCGGGGGGGCTGATGTGCAGAGGAAGCAGGCAGAGGTGAGAGGGGCAGAGAAGCAGAGGTGAGAGAGGCAGAGCAGCAGGTGGAGGTGAGAGGGGCAGAGCAGGGGGCCTCCTCCTGGACTCCCTACCCCGTGTGCCCACCGTCCTCGCCCAGCACTCCTCCACCCCCACGCCCACGCGCACGGGGAGCCTCACGGCAGCTTTTCCAGGTCTGGTCGACAGAGATGGAACTGTACTGCAGCCGGCCAGGGCTTCCGGGGTGACTCCCGGTTTCCTTTGTCCTGTCACGTGCCTGTGACCAACTCAGCACTGTGGCACAGTGTTCCAAAGTGAACTGCTCCTGCACCGCGCCCCCCCCCCCCCCCCCCACCGCCCCCAGTATTCATCCGTGATGCTCAGTGATGCTCATTTGCGGGGACGTGCGTGAGGTCTGTAAAAGTGCTATTCTGCTGAAAATCTGAGACAGGTCGCGAGCAACGAAGTTCTCAGCTCAACAACCTAAGGTGTATCAGAGACTCATTTTAACACAGCAATGGGTTAATCCTGTAGTTTAATAGCTCACTCCTAACTCCCCCTCCCCACCCACCTAGTACTGCCTTGTAATTCCATAGGTCTCAGGTCACTTACATTCTCCGAGTGAGTAGTTACACATTCCTGACCACACGGGCTCTAGCAATGACCTACAGGAGCACCCAGCTCCTGCGCTCAGGAGAATGCAGCACGCAGTCTATGCTCTTGGAATTTAAGACTACTCAGTATTTTGGAATTTTTGTAAGAAGCACAAAACAATATAAAAGAACATAAATTAAAATGGAACAAAAAGAATCTTAATAATGGAGTACACTGCGCCCTATGGATCAATTTAAGTTTCCAGAATTTTGGAGCGCCTGACTGAGAAATGAGCGAACAGAAAGGACCCCACTGCACGCTCTGGCCCAGGGCGCCTGTCCGAGGCTGAGGGCCCCACCCGACAGCGCACGCCCCCGGAGAGGAGTCGGGCACCAGGGAGCGCGGCACTCCCCCTCCACCGGGGGCGCTGCTCCAAGGGTCAGGCCGCACGCTCACTTACCTTAGAGCATATGGAGCAGCGGTAAACAGCCTTCAAAGCTGGAGTGTGTGTGTGTGTGTGTGTGTGTGTGTGTGTGTGTATGTGTGTGTGTGTAGTATTTGAATCAGACATGAAAAAAATTCCTGCTGGATCCAAACTGACTGAACTCCTGAAAATCCTACTTTAGTTGAGCATCCGGTGCAGCACTGCCCGCAGAGGCCTCCCCGCGCCGAAAGGAGAGAAGGTGGAGGCCCCCGGACTGGTGGGGTCTGAGTGCCGGAAGCGCAGCCCTCAGTGAGACCTCGCTGGAGACCACGGATACTTACCAGAGCCCGACAATAAAAATGAAAGAGATTAAAGACCTAGATCGCCAGGTGAAACTAAATTTAGCAATGAGGTTTGTACAGCTTTTTGAGGTTTGTACTGACAGGAAGCGCCAACACACTGAGGAGGTGCACGGGGCTGGAGGCATCCCGGACTCGGAAATCTGCTCCGATCTTTGAAGGTGCACCATTAAACGTGGCTAAAGCTCCTAGTTCTGGCCAGGCCCAAGTGCTGGCTGTCCAGAAAGACCGGGAAGGGTCCAGACGCTACCCCTAGGTGATACATACATTTATACAACAGTGGTGGCCAGGGGGCAGCAGTCTGTTCTGGCTTTACTGCATTGTAATTGTGGTCGCTTGCCCAGGACGGCGTGCCCTCACAGGTCGCTTCCTTCACGAACACCTCGCTCCTCGAAGGGGCCACTGTCGCCTTCTTCGCTATGTTTTCTTTCTTGTCTGGAGCTGGTCTCTTATGCACAGAAGAGATTCGCACGCCTGCCTGGATAACCAGCAAAACCCCAATCATTACGGAGGTCAGAGAAGAGCCTTCGCTCGCCGCGCTTCATGACGAAAGGCATGATACGCTCTACGGTTGGGGTCGTTTGAAGCCCCTCGCCACCCTGAGCGAGGTGCAGGCCCCTGGGGAGCGATGGACTCGAAGGAGGACCTGGGTGACAACGTGTTGGGTAAGCCCTGTGGATGCCAGGACGTGGAGGAAAGTGGCGTCCCGCCTCCTAGGCTGGGCACTCGGCGTTGTTGCCACGGCCCCGTGCACAGCAGCAAGTGCTGCTCTGGGGAGCCTGGGATTCAAAATCACCAGCTTTAAAATTTAAGCCATCTAAAGGCTGAGCAGCATTTAAGAACAACTCCCCCAAACAGCACGACCGACACCCTGCTTGTCACAAACGTAACGGGACTGAAACAGCCAAGCCAAGCTGAGCTCAAACTCTGGTCAAGGGCTTCCTGGTAACACAAGTGCCCGTGACCTTAAAGCATCCCGGGTTCTTCCCAGATCACATGCAGCACAGAACAATTCCACGTGGCAGGTCTTCAAGTGCGGCCCAGTCTGGCCGCAGGGGACCCACGCCACCCTCGCTGTGAGTGAGTGCAAGGTGCACACGCTCTGCCGGGGCCCAGCTCTTCTCCCGCGCGAGTGTGACGCCCGCGCCGAGAGGGCGGACAGAAGACGTGCGCATTTGTGACTCTGACAGGAGCACTGTGGAGGGGCGCGGGCCCAGCCAGGCCACAAAGGCCACCGAAAGTGCCCGCCTGCCACCCGCTTCTCATGTCAACGACTCACAGGGCTGGTCTCGGTCAACTTACCTGGACGCTACATTTCGGGAGAATGAGCTTTTCTGGCTTCATCTTGGTCTTGTCTTTAGGTTTTGGTTTTTGTTCTTTACCCGCACTTAGAGATTTCATGGTAGCTGCGGCGTGTTTCAGAATACAGTCGCTGCTGCAGTAAACCGAGTCAGGCTGCGCCACGTTCGAGCACCCGGGGCCGATACAGTTTGAGGCACCAGGAGCCTCTACCACCTGCAGGATGAAACGCAGGGCTTCAGCGTGCTCACCCGTTTTAGCGGTTACAGCGCTTTGGGAACCACTTACTAGTAGCGACGTCACGATTTTTAACGGAAGCACTAACTATGTTTCTGGTAAGAATGAAAGCACATCTCCGTTTATCCAAAGCACCCGGACCATCTGTCCCTTGGCTAGGCGCTTACAGTAACTACCCCTCATGCCACCCGTGGCAGGCAGGACTCGAAGGGGACCCCGGGACTCTGCCCTGGTGCACGGCCTCTCTGGACCTCTGAACACAATGGGATTTCACACCCATAATTAGGTTCCATTACAAGGCAGACAGGAAGAGATTTCGCTGATGTACTTGAGATCCCAAATGAGACTCTTCTGAATAACTGAAAGGGCCTGGCTTAGTCAAGTGAAAACCATAAAAGAGGGACCGGGCCTTGCAGCAGAGAGAAGACCCCACTGCAGGTTTTCAAAAAGCAAGTGGTCCTGTGCGGGAGCCCCCACGGCCAGGTTCTGAGGGGGAGGCTGCCAGATGGAATGCACAACACCCAACTCAATTTGAATCTCCGAGAAACAACGAATGACTTTTAGTACCTCTGTGCCATAGACACTGCACAGGACACATTTAGACACAAAACCCTTGGGAGTCTTTCAGAGGCGGGTCTCTTCCCAGCCGAGCCTCCAATGAGACCCCAGACTGCAGCGGCAGCTGGGGTGCAGTCTCTTACGACCCTGTGCAGAGGCCGCTGACCCACAGAAACTGAGCTGATAAATCATGCTGTGCAAGGCCACTAAGACTGTGGTCACTCGCTAGGCAAGCAAGAGGGACCTCACCTACCACGAGATCTTACCCCGTGCACTTCTGTTAACATTTGCCAACGTGTGGGGTTTTTTTTTTGGTGGTCAAGACTAAAATACACATGAACCTATCCCTCAAGTGTACTTGAGCAAAATCTTACTTCTCCAATTAACGTATTCTGAGATTGTTTTTCTTCCACAAAATCCAAGTTTAACCAAGAATAAAATTAAGCCTGTATAACCTCAAACAGATCAACAATAAAGACGTGAAATTAAGGTGACTTTTCCCGTTAATTTCCAATTCCGTGAATTTTTTTTTTTTTAACTTTTTTTGATGTTTATTCATTTTTGAGAGACAGAGCATGAGTTGGGGGAGAGACAGAGAGGGAGGGAGACACAGGATCCGGAGCAGTCTCCAGGCTGTCAGCACAGAGCCTGATGCAGGGCTTGAACCCACGAACTGTGAGATCATGACCTGAGTCGAAGTCGGACGCTCAACCGACTGAGCCACCCAGGCGGCCCTCCATGAATTTTCCTTAATGACCGAACATGATATGAACAGTGAGCATCACACCCCCACTCAGTACGTCCTGGCACTCCCGGCTGGCCACCCTTAATTGGTCCAGACCTCATGGCACTTTTACCTCGAGGCTCCCACAGCCCTCACGGCTTCTGCATGCCCAATGCCCACTGAAGGACAGGCCTCCAATTCAAGGCCATCCAGGACTCAGGAAGGGCTGTAGGAACGTGCTCATGAGGGTCTGTGACACTGCTCAACAGCACAAGCTGAACATACATGAGAGAGAGGACAGAGTGCCATGGTCCTAGAGACCTAAGAGCCAGCTAGAAGGAGAAGCACGTAGCAGAGCTAGGAAAAGAGAGACTGAGCTGGCGGGAGCACCGGGAGCACCTGAGGCTGTTACAGGCGGTCAGGCCAGAGGGATCTCCCGCCTTCCCGCCCAGGGACCTTGGATCACCAGCACTGCCCTTGGTGCTCGCAAGACCACCAGCCCTCTCAGGATGGTGGGGTCAGGTGATACAGGTGTACGTTTACCTCAGGAGCTCAAAATAATTTCGTTAACGTGTATGTGAAGGTCGAAACTCCAGAAAGAATATTTAAGAAAAACGGACTCTAAGTTATTTTTATTTAAAGAGAGAGTGCGAGTGGGGGAGAGGGACAGAGGAAGAGACGGAAAGAATCTCAAGCAGTCTCCACCCCACGACTCTAGAATCATGACCTGAGCCAAAATCAAGAGTTGGACGCTCAACAGACTGAGCCACCCAGGCACCCCCCAAAAATCAAACTCTATAAATAAGTGTTTAAGGAAAACGCTAACTTGATAATAACCGTATAGGAGATAGACAGGACTTAAATAAAAGGTCCCCTGTGGCGTCCTGCAGGGGCACGAGTGTGGGAGGCCCACGAAGCAAAGTGCAGAGGACTGCCTTCCAGCAGAGCCCAGCCCACGGCAGACACAGTGCCCTGCTCCGAGAGAAAGAATCTCAAGTCCCGACACTGTTCCCTCTGTGGACGGGAACCTGTGATCTATGGGGTCCGCCCCTTCCGCTGGCCTCGCACACCAGTACTTACGGGCTGGAATATCTTGAGCTTTTTCTTGCTGCTGGGGTTTGCAGCTTTCTCAATTCTGCCCTTTATTCCTTGGTCCTCACTGGACTTCTGCTCCACCGTCCCCATGCTGGTGCAGTCAGCACCGTCTGAGTCTGTGGGCCCGCACCCGGCCTCCTGCTGCTCTGTGCCCTCGGGCTCCGCGTCGTCCCGCACCTGCAGGATGGTGCAGTGCGGGCAGATGTAATCCTCGCCGTTGCGCTCCAGGAGCCTTCCCCGAGCCTCGGAAATGCCCACACAGTCGCCGTGAAACCACTCCTCACATCGGTCACAGCAGATCATAAACCTAAAATTATACAATAATGGTATCAGGACTGGAAAACACGACAAACGCTCAATTTGTGGTACGTTAAAAAATGAATTGGCTTTAAAACCCTATTATGAAAAAAAGCAAAACACAGGAAAGAGGGAAGAAAATAACGACTATTCAATGCCCTTCTCTTGAATTTACCATCATTCAAATTCGGGTCTTTTTGTTTCGGGGGGAAGGGGGGGCAGCAGCATTCTGGGAGTGAGCTGCCCGGCTCCTGGCATTCCAGCCTACAGACCACGCTCGTCTCCTGCCCCCCACCCAGCCATAGCCTGCCCCTGGGCCCCCTTCCAGAATGGTGTAGAGCAACGCTGTGCAAGGGGCCTCTAGGAGGATGGGGGCATCCCAGTCTGTGCTGCCTCATGAGCAGAACAGGGGGCGGCCCCGGGCCTACCTGTTGTTGTGGGGCTGACGACATATGCAGTACAGAGCGTTGGGCTCGTAGGCCTCACACTCGGGCCGCTGCCGGCCCGTGTCCCTGGGGTCTCTGCCTTCCATCCCCTGAGCCGCCTTCCCTTCTGGCTCCTGCTCTCCACCGTCTTTCTCGGCCTCCGACACGGTGCCCTGCTCGGCCTCGGGCTCCTGCTCACCGGGCAGCGAGCTCTCTGTGGCATCGGCCGCCTCCGTGCCGCCGGTCTGCGTGGGACCCTGCTCTCGGCGCTTCCTCCGCAGGCGGCTCTGGAGGCTCCTGGGGGATCTGTCGGCCGCTGCCTGCTCCCGCTGTCTCCGCAGGCGGTTCTGCAGTTCCTTCAAAGTCAGCCCGTCGCTGTCACTGTCAGAGGTGTCGTCCTCGCCCTCACCCCCTTTGGCCTTTGTGGGGGCGGCCGGCTGCTCCTTGTCCCCCGCGGAGCCTGCCGTGGGCCCGCCCTTCCCCTCCGACGTGCTCTCCACGCTCCCTTCCGATGCCGTCTCCACGTCCGTGACGGGACAAGACACTGGCTCGCCGGAGTCCTCCAGGGAGACGGGCGCATTCTTCCTTCCTCGTCTTCGGACCGTCGTGAGAAACTCTTCCACGCGCTCGGTCCGCTTCGGCTGCCTCCCGCTGCGCCGCAAGGAAAGGCCCTGCTGGGGCTGCTGCTCCAGAGCGTCCGCCTCGGCGTCCCCGGCACCCTCTCGCTTGGCGATGGTGGTTCTTCGAAAGCCCCACGTTTTCCTGAATTCTTTGCTGGTGGGTTTGATGGCCTTGGGTGCTTCCTCATTGCTCGGGCCACCTTTTTCATCCATACCTAACGGGGAAACGACCAAACCACAAGCGACGTTAACGAGGCGACATTTCTGGGCCAGTGACCAACGATCCCGGAGCTGAAAGTGCACGCGGCCTTTAATCCACACAACGGAGGGGGCACGGGGGCAACAACAGCTTTCTACCTACACGGAGTGAAGGTGTCCATTAAAACCAGTTACCGTTTTAGAAAAAATTTTAAGTTTAGTTATTTTTTAAAGTTTATTTTTGAGAAAGAGGGAGAGAGAGAGTGCACGCAGGGGATGGGCACAGAGAGAGGAGAAAGAGAACCCAAGCAGGCTTTGTCTTCCCTGTCAGCACAGAGCCCGATGCCGGGCGTGAACCCACAAACTGAAAATGTGACCTGAGCTGAAATCAGGAGTCAGACGTTCAATTGACTGAGCCACCCAGGTGCCCCTAAATTTATTTGACTGAGAGAGCATGCATGAGTGCATGTGAGCAGGGGAAGGGCAGAGGCTGGGAGGGAAGGGGGGAGGGGGAGGG